CTCTTCTAGTCTGGCCGAACACTCTTCTTCTCTCCTTCTTCTTCTTCTTTCTCTTTTCTCTTTTCTTTCTTCTTTCTTCTTCTCTACTTTGACCTAGAATCAACTAGGGTTTATTCACATCATGCTTGTGCTTATTCTCTGCCTCAGGTTATTTGATTCATCTATGGATCTGATGACATTAAAGCCTCATCCCAAACACCAAGGCCCATCCCAAAGTCCCCTAATATCTTCTAACTCCTCCCAAAGTTCATTTCTTTCCCTATATCCATTAGGGCCATAAACATTAGTCAGTATCCACTCAAAATCATCTTCTACTTGTCGGAATTTAATTGAAATTGTAAATTTTCCCACAAGTTCTTCAACTCTAATCAGAGAATCATCATTCCAAATTGTCACAATGCCATCCGAGGCACCCCCAAGCTGGGGACATTGCCCAACTAAGGCCCCTAGTTCTCCAAATACATTTAGACCACTGACAATCAAAATCAGCCAATTTAGATTCCTGAATTAATACTACATCTGGCTTATCTCTCCCAAACACCTCTTTGATAATGACTTTTTTTATCCTTTCCCAATCCTCTAACATTCCAACTTGCAATCTTCATTTTACCATCTTTATTCACTTGGCCCCTTTTTTATTCCCTTTCTCCCACTAAACTCCTTGCCCCCTTCAACATATCTCTTCATTCTTTCAAACCTCACTTCTTCCTTTTCCCAACTTTGCCTTCTTTTTTTTGATAAGTAACTTTGCCTTCCTTAACTTTCTTTAAGAAAACTTTCAAATCATTTGGATTCTTCAACCTGCACCCTAGCTTAGTTACAAAGTCGGCCACAAAATCACTTATTTCATCAACAACTTCTTCCTCTCTTGAAACATTGGGGACACATCCCGAGTTACCAGGTACCACTAAATTTTCCTTCCCCCTTCTCATTTCAAAATCTCTCCCATATTCAAATTCTTTCCTCTTAAGATCCTCCAACATGCTTTCAATCATCTCCCAAATTCTTCTTACCCTTTCCTCCTCTTCAGCCTTTCTGGTCCTAACCTCTCCACCCTCCCCATCCCCTATATTCTTATCTTCATCTTGTGGCTGGATGACTTCCCGTGGACCAAGAGGACAAGGTTCAAGCACAAAAAGGGCGTTAGTGAATTGACACAGATACATGACTCTGTCAGGGGCAAGGAAACAACCAGAATAGGGACCATTGGAGCCTCTTCTTGTGCAAGGATTTGGATCTTACCAGTCAACCCACATGGAGGTGCTACTCGGGAACCTTCTGTAGATGCATAAATCCTCTGACCACATCCACTAATCTGTTGCTCACCCCTTCCCAGATTCTCCCTGCTCAGCCTCTAGTAAACCTTTCTACATCCTTACAGACACCCTGCCTCACATCATACTTTGGTTCTGATGTCCCTTTGCTTAGGTTTAGACTTTCCACTCCATCCACCTCTTTGTACTCCACTGTGTTTACATCTCAACTGGTTGCCGTCGGACCCAAAGATGAGACCTTCACGTTTTCCTTTTCTTCACTTCAGCAAACAACTAGTTTGTATTTAGATGGTTTTGTTCCTCATCCCCCGCGCTACCAACCAAAGCCTGAATCTTCATCATCAGACTGACCAAAGTCCACCGACCATCATCCACCTCGTCAATGTCTTCTTAATGGATTCTGGCATACCTGGGATTTGGACGGTCCATAACTGCTCCATTTTGACTCATCTGAGTTGCCACTGGCCTTGAAACCCATTGCAAGGACGAACCTGAACGCACACATGTGCTGCTTTTCTAACAAGCGCATCGACTGGGGACGCTGATAGACTTAACATATTGTCCCTAGTCGATAACACCTTTTTCTTGCTACATCTTGCTACTTGCATAAGACTCGGTAGGTCTCAACTCATCATGATTACCAAGCGAGTTGCTAACACGACCAACATCCCAGTGGGTTGGTTCAGTGCATCCTGTTTTGTTCATCGACGCTTTACTTCGCTTTGAACCCTGTATCAGATCAGAATTCATTCCAAATCTTGTAATCTCCACATAGAAAGGGCCACGTACACCTCTCCTTTTCAAATTGAATTCATTTGAAATTTTTTCCTTCTCCATGTTTTCCCCGTTTTGACCCCCAGCTTCTGACTGTTCATATTCTGAAACATCTTTGTTTCTTTATCCTCTCTCCTTCCACATAAGCACATGCCTGCCACATCATCACCTTCTTCAACCTCACACCTCTCTATCCAAAGTGACGCTTCACATTCTGTCGCTAACCAGACCTTACTCCAGAGCCCACCATGGAATACATCAATCGAGCGAGGAACACCTTCTGGTTTTACTCCAGCCACTTCAACTACCACCACTTGGAGATTAGTTGTATCAGTTGCCAGAAGAACACCCAATGCATGAACCATTTTATAAAGAGTTTCCAACTGCCACAGGTTAAAGGGGAGACCAAGGAGTTTGATTTTATAAGCTCCATCTTCCATTTCTCTACTGTTACATAATGGAGACCGTTTTTCAATAAAGACCAACCCAAAATCACCTTCAACAGATGTTAAGTTCTCTACCTCGCCATTTAGGGTCATTCCTCAATGTTGGTCCTAGCTATCCAGGGTCTTGGGAGGAGTGGACTAGCTACAGACCTCACCTTTGGTATTTCTTGTAAAAAGTGCCTACTCTAAAACTTTAACCTGCATTCACATGTTTGTCATGTCAACCCAAGATTTTATCATTGCACCAAGAAATGACCCCTTACATCTTTGTGCTATGATTTGTATTATGAAGGTTGATTTGAATATTTGGGATTGGGAATCGAGTCATGTTCCAAGGTAACACTGCCTAGTGCCTACTACTACATAAGTACATCTTTCATCCAGATACCTCCATAAATTATTTATGACTGCCAAAAAAAATCATTTTCGTTCTGAATGCAATCATTACCATGGCAGGCCCGTTGAAAGATTTGGCAATTTAAATGTATAGAACAAACTACTACACCATTACAAAGGACCATTCCCAATTTTGTACAATTGTTTGAACTGCTAAAATTGAAACAAAGAACATTTACAGATATAGGTGAGAATTAATTACCAGGAGCAGCACAAAGATCAAGGACATGATCTCCAGCTGAGACATTCAAGGCTAAAACAGCAGCTCCAGATGCTGCATCCATGCCATAAATCTGAGACCAAGTAAAAGGTAACTAAGAAAAACAGCTTAATGTGGAGGAAAAGTATATTTAAATAGAAAGAAAGATCAGAACAAGCATATCAATAACCGTGAACATATACAAACTACAGAAACAGAAACAATCCAACAAATAGTGTACATCTTGGATTAACTACTCAATAGGTGGAGCACATTTTGATTGAAGCATAATTCAAACTGCACATCAACCAACTTGAAGAAAAAGAAAAAAAATCCATGGTTAGAACCTTTTTTATCAGTAGAAAGTAATTTCATTAATGCAAACTTAAAAATTACAAGAGGGTGGATGTAAGTTCCACCCCAAACAACAAGAGTTTACAGATTTGCCCAAAACAATTGCTGTCTTATAGCCCCTTGTTTGGGTAAAGAGTCCATTCTATTTGCTCTTCTTCTCACCCATTAGAAGAAACATTTTGCTCCCTTATTAGGTTTTCAATCTCCCTAAGTTTGTTCTGAAAAACCAAGGGATTTGGGTGCTGCATCTTGTCCTAGAAATGACCACCTGAGAGTCCCCTTCCACCTCTAGATTGTGGAATCCAAATTGTTAAGCAAACTTTCACCCCTGCAGTAAGCTGACCAGTTCTGTCGCCAGTGCATCAGTGCTCTAAGGGTCCTGAATACAAAGCCACCACTATTCCTTTTGGATCTTGGAAGACACCCCTATCCCAAGCAATCCCAAATTGCCTATAAAACTTCCATCAAAATTGAGTTTTAAGAAACTAGATGTTGGGGGTTTCCATTTCATAACTAGCTTCCAAAATTTTCACCCAGTGTGCAGCTTTATTTTTTTAATTATGTTTTAATCATTCATGGAGAGAGGGAGAGACGAGAGAGAGAGAGAGAGAGAGAGAGAGAGAGAGAGAGAGAGAGAGAGAGAGAGAGAGGAGAAGAGAAAGATACGATTGAGGGTCTCCAAAAACGGTAGCTGGCGGCAGCCAGTTTGTTATTTATATTAACTTAATATAAAGGAATGAGAGATTACAAGTATGCCCCTGGCGGCACTCCCTAGTAACAATCTAATAAGAAAGAAAGAAAGAAACTAACTGACTGACGGCATCTTAGGCTGACAGCACACTAATAGCAAGTGTAAAATAACAATTAAATAATCCTCACAACACTCCCCCTCAAGTTGGGCTGAATATGTCTATCATGCCCAGCTTGTCACATAACTCATTGTGCCGCGAGTATGGAAGTCCTTTTGTGAGGGCATCAGCAAGTTGTTCCTTGGAGTTGACTAAGGGATGCAAATTTCCCTTTTTTCCAATTTTTCCCTTATGAAGTGTTTGTCCACTTCAATGTGCTTGGTCCTCTCGACAGAATTGTTGGCGATGTTTATGGCTGCCTTGTTGTCACAGTAAAGCAACATAGGATTATGAACAACAACTCCAAGCTGCCCTAGAAGATTTTTTAGCCAAAGAACTTCAGCCACCCCATGTACCATAGCTCTATATTCAGCTTCAGCACTTGACCTTGCTACCAGACTTTGTTTCTTGCTTTTCCAAGTCACTAGGTTTCCTCCCACAAATGTGCAATACCCACTTGTGAACTTTCTATCATCCACAGCACCTGCCCAAATCAGCATCTGTAAAGACTTCCACCTTTAGATGATCATGTTTACTGAATAGTAGACCTGTTCTTGGATACTTTTTTAAGTATCTAAGAACTCTCTCTGCTGCCTCCATGTGTGGTTTCTTAGGAGAGTGAATGAATTGGCTCAGGACCCCAACTGAATAGGCAATGTCTGGACAGGTTATGAACAAATAAATCAACTTCCCCACTAACATTTGTAATTGTTTCACATCTTTCAAAGGTTCACCATCACAGTCACCCAATTTGTGATCAACATCCATGGGAATATCTGCTGGCCTTGCGCCTAACTTGCCTGTGTCTTGTAACAGATCAAGGGTGTACTTCCTTTGAGAAATGAAGATGCCCCTTTTTGAGCGGGCGATTCAATTCCAAGAAAATACTTTAGGGGACCTAGATCTTTCACTTCAAATTTAGATGCAAGGAATTGTTTCAATTTTTGTATTTTTGGACTCCAATTTCTTGTAACGATGATATCATCCACATACACTATCAATACAGCAACATGTTCCTGGCATCTCTTCACAAAGAGTGTGTGATCAAACTGACATTGCTTGAACCCTACCTGYTAAACTACCATGTTAAACTTATTGAACCAAGCCCTAGGAGATTGTTTTAAACCATAAAGAGACTTTCTCAACTTGCACACCTTATTTTCATTTCCCTTGGCACAGAATCCAGGGGGTTGAACCATGTAGACCTCCTCCTCTAGGTCACCATTTAAAAAAGCATTATTTTATGTCTAGTTGATGCAATTCTCAATCAAGGTTAGCAGCTAATGACAGGAGGACTCTAATTGAGTTCATCTTAGCTACTAGAGCAAAAGTCTCGTCATAGTCAACCCCGTATACTTGAGTGTACCCCTAGGCTACTAATCTTTCTTTATACCTTTCAAATGTCCCGTCCGCCTTGTGTTTAACTGTAAACACCCACTTACACCCCATCGGGTCTTTCCCCCTTGGAAGATCCACCAATTCCCAAGTTTGATCTTTATGGAGGGCATTAATCTCCTCCTTCATAGCATCTGTCCATTCAGGGTATATTAAGGCTTCTGCAACATTTTTGAGTACAAGGATGCAACAAACTACAGATAGGAAGACTCGGTATGAGGGGGAAATGTGATTATAGGAGACATACTGGGTAATGGGGTGTTTGGTAGCGCATGACCTGACTCCCTTTCTTTGAGCAATAGGAATGTCAAGGTCATCCATAGTAGGAGCAGGGGTACCAATAGATGCAATAGGGTTTGGACTTACCTCCTGGGAGTCTGATGGTGTCGGTTGCTCAATGTTTGGCTACTCCACATCTCTGTCACATTGTTGATCTCTACGGCATGTACATTGGAAGACACGAAAGGGGGCAAGGTCCGGAATAGAAGGAAGAGAGACTTGGCGGACCTGAACCTGCTTCTCCTCTTCCACACTACTCTCCCCCTGAGAAGAAGCAAGGAAGAACGGTTCAGACTCAAAGAATGACACATCCATAGACACAAAAAACTTATGACTAACGGGATCAAAGCACCAGTACCCTTTTTGAGAGGAGGGATACCCCAGAAAGATACAAGGAATGAACCGAGGGTCTAACTTACCTCGAGACGGAGACAAATCATGAACAAAGACACAACAACCAAAAACTCATGGGAATGGAAAATAAAGGGGACTGAGGGAACAACAACTGATGAGGGGCCATGTAGTTCAGCACTCTGGAGGGCATGCGATTGATGAAACAAGCAGCCGCAAGTATAGCATCCATCCAAAACATTTTTGGAACATTCATGTGTAACATCATCCCTCGAGCTACCCCAAGGAGGTGTCTATTTTTTTCTTTCTATAACACCATTTTGTTGTGGTATTCTTGCGCATGAGCTCCTATGAACAGATCCATGGGAGACAAAGAACTCATTGAACTCACCATGAAAATATTCCTTTGCATTACCTGATTGAAAGATTTGTATTTCAACATGGAATTGCATAAACACCATCCTTTATAAGTCTTTCACAATCTTTGGAACTTCATCTCTATTACGCATAGGGAATACCGAAGTATAGCGGGAGAAATCATCGATCAATGTGATAAAGTACTTATACCCGCCCTCAGACACTGAAGATGACTTAAATAAAACCGAAAACGAAGACTTTACCATTTCAAAAGAAACATGACCTAACCAACTATGCCACAAAAAAATTTGACTCTCTAGCCAATGCTTGAAACATCTCTGAACAGGTATGAAAAAGGTTATAGCCAATCATTTTAATCAATAAATAGTAAACCAGTCATCGAATCCCCATTTGTCCTTTTAGGAAAATATTTTTCAAAAACACTGATGAATCATGAAGTATTAGAATGTTTCTAACAATATTCTTAAATTTTAAACCTTAAATATAGCTTATCAATTTTTGAAAGGTGAAGGTAAAATTTATTATAATAGAGTATGAAAATTTGCATAGCCTCTCCTTCAAGAATAAGGAATCAACCTCAGCCACTCAATGACATTTTCAATCCATCAATTATGCACACATTTAATAAAAATCTGAAATATAGTCAACAATCACATTAGCAAAATATCAAAGATATTAGGAAAAAGATCCTTGGAAAATTCAGTATTGCCACCTAACAAAATGGGGAGATTTCAAAAACCCCTTTCAAGATGGAAAATATGTGGTTTGAAGAGAAGGGGTTGGTTCCTTTGTTGAGCTCTAAATAGACTGAACTCCAGCTAGAAGGCACAAGTTCATTCAAATTTGCAAAAAAAAAAAAAATCAAAGTAGTTAAGGAAACCCTGAAGTCTTGGAGATTGGAACTCCGTTGGACCTCAGAATCAGAGAAAAAGAGGTGCCTTGAAGTGATCAAAGAGTTGGATGTGGCTGAGGAATCTGGTCCTCCAATAGAGGAAGATAGAAAGAGAAGGATGGAAGCAAAGATGTCCATTGACAGGCTAGCTGTTAGAGATGAAATTAAGTGGAGGCAAAGGGCCAAGGTCAAATGGCTTAAGGAGGGGGATAGAAATTCCAACTTTTTCCATAAAATGACAAATGCAAGAATTAGATTCAATCAGCTCGAGATGTTGGAGTTTGAGGAGCTAGTGGGAGAGGATGGGGCTGAGATGAAATTAATTGCCACCAAATACTTCTCAGAATTGTTCCAAGAAATTTGGGCAAGAAGACCTTTTCCAACAGATCTTGAGTTTAGGAAGATTTCTGATTCTCAACAAAGAGAGTTGGAAGCCCCCTTTACTGAGGCTGAAATATGGCATGTGATCAAGAATATGGAAGTTGATAAATCCCCAGGGCCGGATGGTCTTACAAGTCTTTTCTATAAGAAGTGTTGGGAGGTGGTGAAAGAGGATTTAATGAAAGTATTTCAAGATTTCCATCAAAATGCAGCTCTGGAAAGAAGTAAACTCCACTTTCATCTCCTTAATTCCTAAAGTGGAAGGGGCAACAAGCATTAAAGATTTTAGGCCCATCAGTCTGCTAAATAGTTTCTATAAAATTCTGGCAAAGGCTCTAGCAAAAAGATTGAAAACAGTGCTGAGTTCTGTGATTGCAAAGAATCAATTTGCATTTGTGTCGAGTAGACAGATGTTAGACAGTGTCCTGGTGGCAAATGAACTGATAGACTCAAGGAGAAGGGAGGGTAATACAGGGCTGATTTGTAAGTTGGATATTGAAAAGGCCTACGACCATGTTAACTGGAAATGCTTGGATTTAGTCTTGGAAAAGATTAATTTTGGTCAAAAATGGAGGAACTGGATCAAAGTTTGTGTTTCTTCCCCCAAATTTGCAGTGCTAGTTAATGGTGAATCGGCTTACTTCTTTAAAAGTTCTAGAGGCCTCAAACAAGGGGACCCCCTTTCCCCTCTGCTGTTCATTTGTATAATGGAGATATTGTCCCTATTTGTTCACCGAGTTAGTGAAGAAGGCTTGTGGAAGAGGTTTGAATCAGCACCAGGAGGAGAAAAGGTTCAGTTACTTCAGTTTGCAGATGGCACATTGTGTTTTATTGATGCAGATCTAGATCAACTGGAGGTCATGCTTGGGGTGTTGAGTTGGTTTGAAGTGGTAACAGGTTTGAGGGTTAACTGGGCCAAGAGTAGAGTAATTCCAGTGGTGAAGGTTGAGAATCTTGAAGTTCTAGCAGAAGCTCTTGCTTGTCAGATCGGGTATCTTCCAACAATGTATCTAGGGCTTCCCTTGGGGGTTAAGTGCTCTTACTCTCTAATTTGGGAACCAGTGGTGGAAAGATTGGAAAGGAAGTTGGCGTCCTGGAAAGCTAAATATCTCTTTGGGGGCTAGAATCACTCTACTGAAAAGTTCTCCGTCTAACCTCCCCTCCTACTTCCTCTCTCTCTTCCCAATACCTACTAAAGTGGCACAAAAATTAGAAAGGCTCCAAAGGAATTCCCTATGGAAGGGTTGCGAGGAGGAAAAGAAAATACACTTAACCAGTTGCAAACAGGTGTATACAGTGTACTCCAAAAGAAAGAGGTGGCTTGGGGGTGAGAAGTCTGAAAACTTTTAACAGAGCTTTAATGGGAAAATGGATCTAGAGATTTGCTAGAGAAAGAACTAGTTGGTGGAGATCTTTAATTGCAGCCAAGTATGAAACAGATAGAGGGGACTGGTTAACCACCTTGAACTTTCCTTCCTTGGGTTGCTCTCTTTGGAAGAAAATTATGGAAATCTACCCTCTGATCCAAAATGGCTTGTCTCCTAAGTTGGGTTCAGGACTTCGCTTGAAGTTTTGGAAAGATAAGTGGTGTAATAATAGGTCCTTTGAAGAGTTGTTCCCTCACCTGTTCCAACTTGTAGAGAATCAAGATGTAATGGTAGCAGAATGTTGTGAGCTGATTGGGAATAGTCTTGCCTGGAGTCCTACTTTCAGAAGACCTTTCCAAGATTGGGAAGTGGACCAAGTGGTGGATTTGTTGGAATTGCTTTCTAGTCAGATTTTGAACCCCTTGGAAGAAGACTCATGGATCTGGAAGTGGAATGCAGATGGAATTTTCACTGTGAATTCTTTTGCCAGAAGATTATCTGGTGAAGGAATTGAAAATTTTCCTGCTGCTAGAATTTTTTTTTTTTATCAATAACACTTTCATTAACTCATCAAAAGAAGATTTACAATAGGAAGACAAACACGCTTATTTTCCTGCTGCTATAATCTGGACTCAGATCCCTCCTCTCAAAGTGAATGCTCTGCTGTGGGTGATAGTGTTGGATAAAAACCTAACTAAACAGAATTTGGCAAAAATAGGAATTCTGATTCAGAACATGCTTTGTGAGCTGTGTGGTCAAGCAGAGGAGGAAAACAATCATCTCTTCATCCATTGCCCTTTCGTGGCAGGATTATGGAATCATTTCCTCTCTTCTGAAGGTATTTCTTGGGTCATGCCAAAACAGGTATCAGATCTGTTAAGGAGTTAGGATATGATAGGTTTTTCTAAGCTGGCTAGAAGTGTGTGGTGGGCTATCCCTGCAGCTGTGATCAACTCCATATGGGCGGAGAGAAACAGAAGAATCTTTCAAAATAAAGTAAAGGAGGTGGACTGTCTTGTGCCATGTGCAGTGGGAAAATTAGTGTCTTGGACTGCAGGCGTGAAAGGCTTCCATCCTAGGGTCTTAGGGACTCAGTTAAGGTCTATTAGTATGTTTGAGTTGTAATGTAAGCTGAGAGTCTGTTCTCAGCCTTTGCTCCTTCCTTGGGGCTTCTTTGTATGGTTCTGATTTCATTCAATAAATGTACCTTACCTTTTTCAAAAAAAAAAAATGGGGAGATTTCAGGGAAATTTTTCCAAACCATGCTGATGATGTGGATCATGATTGGTAACAGGCTTAAGGTGAAGCAGCTCCCCTTCCAGATTCCTCGACCTCTTTTTCCAAATTCTTTTTTTTTTAAAGATAGGGTAAATTTTTATTCAAATGCAAAAGAAAAATCAAAGAACAGATGAGGTCCAAGGCCCACCACACACACAGGCAGCACCTAGACCACAACACAATTACATATGCCACAAGCCTCTTTCAAATTCTCAAGGCCTCTTCCTCGGACAGGAAGATGAATAGAACCTATTTGTGGATATTCACCTCACCTATACCCTGAAAGGAATATCCAACTATAAATAGCCCATTGTTGGATTTTCTCAACTAGGAGTTACCTTGCAACTGCAACAATAGTACCCACTAAGCAAGACTTCAAGAAGTCCTTGTGATTCTGCCCTTCTTCTCCTTCAACTACAATGAAAATGCTCTAAGATCCAGCTCTCATAGTCACCTTACCACCGGTGGACCATGAAGTGGTTTTGCTTTATCAGCAAAGGAGGAAAGCTCTGTTTTCTAGATCCCACCATCAACCCTTCATCACAACCACCTCATCATCTTCATCAGAGTTGCCTAGCACCATCACTTATTCCTTTCTAGTAGTCGAGCCACACATTCTTTTTGTGAGGACTTGTTTCCTTTAGTTGAATCACCTGTTATCGTTTCCTATTCATTTGTTTTTTTTTTCAAAAGTGAGAACTTGCTACCACTAGTTCTTCTAGACCCTACAACTTGTAACATATTATTTTTTGTCATTGGTACAGTATGTCAAAAACATCATATGACTAGCACAACTAAGAAACACTTGTATCCAAAATTACCAAACAAACAGGTAATGAAAATAGAAAAGCCTCTAGTTGTATGAAAACCTAAAAGGATTCAAACCTAAGGAGTCAAGGCCCAAAACAATGTTTTCAGACAAGAAAACTTATTTTGCAAGGTCTGCAATAATACAAGTGACATTAGTATCATTGCCAAATAAATCTTAGGCCAAGACGTGTTAAGCCTCACCTTTCCTTCCTGGTATGCCTTCGAGTTAGCAATCTGAATATGAGGAGGGATAGAAAAAAACCCTGGTAACCAACTCACTTCCTCAAGCATACACTTTATGTCAGCCTCAATCTCTTCAACTTGAGTTCCACCACCTGGCTTCAGCCTGACAAAGGGAAAAAGCACATCATCACATAGAACCATAAACATCAGGATTCAGGACAAAAGGCGATATAAAGACTATAACATAGACATGCATCAGTAGATGTGGCATTTCATATTGCCACTTTGTGTTTGCAGTCTCTACTAGGCTACCATGCTTGGACAATAAAGTGTGCAGAAGGATGTCTAGCCACTGATAAAGTCACATATGTCAACATGCATCAGAACTAACTCAAGTCCACCAAATTATAATTCGTTAAAAAGCAAAACAAATTTAGTTAGCTAAAATCAGTGTTTATTAGTCCAATAACAATATCAGACCACCAACCTTATATAGCGTGGAGTCACATCACCCAAAACATAAATTGAAGGATCAAGATCATTCTCCTTTAGAAAATCAAGAAATGCTTCCGGCAACGGCAAGTTAGGAGTTGTTTCCATGTCCTGAAGAACAAAAGAACCTTTTAGGAGTTAAGAACTACTTAAACTTAAGCAGACAAAACTTGTCATTGGCAGCATTTCTTTCTATGTAAGAGGGGCATAAAATTTTTCAATCTGAAAGACCTCAGTTGTATTTTCAATTGGTAAAAATTTCAATCTATGTAAAAGGGGAAGAAAACAACAGTTTGATCATAAAAGGTCCAAAAATATAATTGAGACTTTACCAATTGAAAATCTTTCTGTCCCATCTACAGTAAAACAAATGGAACCTAAGGAAACAAGCAAACAGAATTGAAGGATGGAAGCAACAGAGTTTTCGCCCGCGAGGAAGTGGAGAGGATTCTTCACGGTCGAAGCTAAGTACCAAAGTAGAGGAATGCCGAGAAACAAATACGAAATAGAGGAAGCTAAGAGTTGCAATGGGAAATAGTATGTGGCAGAGAGGAGAACAAATCAACAAATACGAAAGAAAGATTCATAACCTTAACTGAACACCAGACTACAAACCCAAAACAAATAATGTGTCCCTGCAGTAATGAGCCTATCAGGGCGGCAGTTGAAGTCTCAGATGTTACAACAGGTTCATCGAAGAGAAGGGAGTATCAATGACGTCGATACCGGTTACCTCTGTACTAAAAGTCGGAGGACTGGAAAAGGGCAGAAGGTAGTATCAGAATTTCCTTAAGGGTGAAGTGAAGCTGAAACCGTTCTACGAAATTAAGGCTTCGGTAATTCCTTTACAGACCATTCAAACTCTACAGGTAAAGGTGGGTTCAATTGTAAGGGAGGCTCCTGCTTTGTCCGGAGATCGTTCTGGCTTACTAAGAGAAGGGTTGAGAACTCAAGATTCCACGGGTGAGGATTTTTCACCGCAGAAAAATCGAAAAAAAAAACGGAAAACTACGGACAGGCCCAATGCAGATTTCCGATTTCTACTACAAAACTATAAACATTAAAAATCTCAATAACCCACAATTTATTCACCAATTCCGAACTGGCACTTATCCCAACATTACTTTAGGCCTACAAATTTTGGCCGTAGGATGAACCATTATTCTCTCAAAAGAAATCGAAAAATTGAACCAATCAAAAAAACAGGAGAATGACCAGGGTCAGAATTCATAGGCCTAAACTACAATTCAAGTAGGTGCAATTCATGGGCGGATATGAGTGCATAGGGTGTGGATTTTTGAACTTCTGAATGTTTATAGAGTTTAGCAGAATTCAGAATTCTACATTAGGCCTATTTGTACTTCTCCATCAAAAAAACCAATCGAAATGAACCGAAAAATCGGTCAACCGAATCAATCAATTCGGTTTCGCTTTGGTGTTTTAAAAAAACCGAAGGTACCAATTTTGTTTCGGTTAACCAATATAGAAAATCGGCGGTTAATCGAACCGACCGGTATACATATATTTCTATATATTTTATATAATTATGTATATTATATAAATATATAAATATATATATTTATATATTTATATATTTTTAATATATTATAAATTAATAAATGTGCATTATATATAAATATATATTTATAATATATGATTTATTATTTATTATTTATTATTTAAAATATAATATTTTATATATATTTATAATTTTTTGTTATATATTTATATATTTTTTTATAAAAATTAAAAAAATCGATGAACTGAACCAGTTAACCGGTTAATCAACTGTTTTCGGTTTGGTTTCAATTACCAATTTTCCAAAAACCAATAGTATTAGTTTGGTTAAAAAAAAAAGCCCCACCCGAACCGTGAGCACCCTTAGCCCCCATAGTCTAGCATCGATCCACATCGAGATTCATCCCAGCTCTAAGGTGAGGCTAAGAATTCTGAGGCGGGTTGAACAGTCATTCTCCCTTTTTTTTGAGAAAATTCTAGTTTAGTACCTTGAACTGTGGGGTAGTGTTAAGGTAGTATCCAAACTTTCAAAAACGTGTCATTGCACTACCCAAAATTTCAAAAAGTATCAAGTTGGTCCAAAAGCATTAATGGACGTTAAGTATCATATACAAAAATTCCATTCACCTATCATCTAATTTCCCTATGATTGGTATCTGATCTCTAACTAGTAGGAGTGAGCAAAAAAAATCGAAAACCAAACCGACTGAAACCGCACCAAAAAATTGGTTAACCGAGCCGATTGTCTGGTTTCGATTAACCAATATAGAAAACCGGTAGTTAACCAAACCGACCGATATACATATATTTCTATATATTTCATATATTTATGTATATTATATATATATATATATATATTAATATTTTTATATATTATAAATTAATAAATATGCATTATATATAAATATATATTTATAATATATGATATATTATTTATTATTTAAAAATAACATTTTATATAATATATATTTATAATTTTATTTATAATATATAACATTTATAATTTTATAATTTTATAATATATAACATTTTATTTATAATATGTGATATATTATTTATTATTTAAAATATAATATTTTATATATATTTATAGTTTTTTATTCTATATTTATATATATTTTTATAATATATATTATAAAAATTAAAAAACCAAAAAATCAACGAACAGAACCGACAGTTAACCGAACCGGTCAACCGGTTAACTGATTGATTCAGTTCAATTTTGGTTACCAATTTTCCAATCTCTAACCAGTAACCGTGAACACCCCCTACTAACCAGTAACCGTGAACACCCCCTACTAACCAGTAACCGTGAACACCCCCTACTAACCAGTAACCACCTCCAATACCCAATCTCTAACCAGCATTCACATCAACAATGGAAATATAGAAATGAACAAATATTTTTTTATCGACAACCATGAAGAGAATCGCAATCACTGAAGATAGAAAAATAAATAAATATACCAAGCCATCAGCATTTGCATTTTCTGAAACATGATGCTGATTGCAAACCCGACAAACACAAGCGGAACACCCAATCTGGCCAAGATTGATATGTACCTTCACTAAATAGGAAATCCTTGCTGTTTGTGAACAACATGTCAGAACCAATTTCAATGTGTTCTTTCTCTTTCATGGAATTAAGCTACTCACAGAGGTCATCCAGCTTTTGCTGTATGTTGGGTAGAACTTGATCCTGAAAAACCAGATCAAACATCAAAGTGGGCCATCAGAGCTTCTTCGTTTTTGTAATAAAATTCAAACACTAATAAACTATCGAAATAAAAAGGGGGCAAAAAAACTGAATCATGATTCATTACAAGTTCAACAACTAGAGATTAAAAGAAGCAAATCATTTCAAAAGGGCTAATGAACTTCATATAAATTATAGAGAAGTAATGTGAATTCTTAGATTGCAATTATGAATCTCAAACAAAACTCAAACTTTGTTTTAGGAAAAAGGTTCAAATTTGTTTAAAAACATTTAGAATCAATGAAACAAAATCCAGAGGTAGAAACCCATTGTTTCTACCAAGGATGGGCCAAGGGCAACAAAGTAATTACGCTTCCGAGATGAGGGCTTGCTGATGTGTCTAAGGGCTAATAGAGCCAAGAGCCTGTGAGTCCAACCTGTAGAGGAAGAAGCATGTCAGAGGCCCCGGGTGTTTTCCCAGGGGCGGAGACTCCGATGGTCAATTTAGCAAGGACATAGCAAAGGGATTGGACGAGGCCTAAGTAGAATAGCTCAGACGAGGTCACCAGGGAGCTAGAAAGCTTAGAGCAATAAATGCCATGATGGATTACCTCAAAGTGATGCCACCTATTTATAGCTGAACTTGCCTCATGTTAGTTATGAGCGGACGGCCAGGATGCAATAGGCTCTATGTCATGTGTCCTCATCTTGGGCCTGCCATATGCGCCTACATCATTTGCCCCCACTTACGAGGCCATTGTGGAGGTCTAGGCGAGGACCTCTGCTTCGGCGAAGAGAGTGTATCATCATTGCTAGGAGGCAATAAGTGGCTTGCTTTGGTAAGGACCTCGGCTTCCGCTTCGTCTTCGCTGGGAAACAGCCTACTGTAGAGGCACGGAGACATCGGATTTGGCTTTGGCTTTGGCTTCATTGGAGATAGCCTAGCTCAGAAGCGTGGAGGTGTCGGCCTCGGCTTCGACAGGCTTCCCTTGTCTTAGTGGCAGCTACTTTGCTGATTTCGCCTCTTGAGAGAGTTGTGGAGGGCCAAAAAACACGAAAGCGTTGGCTTCAGCTTCAAAGAGCTCGATACCAAGCATGGTATGGATACGAGATGCATGTGCCCCCCAGTCGTGTGCTTCATAGATGTGATCTCGTGTGCAGGTTAGGCCTCGGTGTCAGCCACTGCCGTGTGTGGTACGAGTAATGGATCATCTTGTCATGGCCGTGTACAGGACGGATCTCGGCGTCGGGTAATGACCATACGTACGACAGGTCTCAGTATTGATTGGTTAGGACCATACACGAGACGGACGTCGGGTCACAACCGGGTTGAGTTGACTCTGGCTCATAAGGGGTGAGCAAACTGCTGAATTAGTGAAGGAACCGGTTGGCTCACTCGGGGCTGTTTTGTCTTCCTGAGGTGTGTTGGGCATCAGTTCAGACTATTAAGGCGGTCGCTCCTTGGCCGTTAGACCGGAGATGATCCGAGTCATCCATTTTCCTTTAAATTGGGCACTTAGTTGAGATAGTCTTCACTCTCAAAGCATTCGACACCTAGTGACCACCACAAATGTCGTTTTCTCTTGGTCCTCCTGCGCAATAACAATCTGATAATACCCAGAGAATCCATCGAGAAAACAGAAGAAAACCTTACCTGCCAGCCTCTCTAGCATCTGATCAATGAAGGGTAGGGGAAAATGGTCCTTTCGGGTGGCCAAGTTAAGTTTTCGAAAATCTATTACCATTCGCCAACCACCTTGTACCCTCATGGGAATTAGTTCATTATTTTTATTTTTTACTACAGTCATCCCAGTTTTCTTAGGCAYAACATGAATACGACTTACCCATTTGCTGTCTGAAATTGGATAAATTATCCCTTCATCTAACAGTT